TGGGGAAAGTCATGTAAAAAGAGTGATTGAAGGAGACTGTGCAGCTCTCCAGTGATAAGCAGTGATAGTCTGTGGTTCCAGGAGTGGCATCTGGAAATGGAATGGGAAAGATTAACAGTGTGAAATAACACCTGGAACGATGTTTAGAAGACAGATATTATCCTGAGGGAGATATGACAACGGCTTCACTTCTTACTCTGAATTATGGATATTAAAAAGGCTCAATGAATGACATATTTACACCACATCCTCTAACATGCACGCCATCAGGCTGTGGAAATGGCACAGATTTTGGAAACACACACATCTGCACCTGATAGGAAACAAGGCCAAGAATGACTTTGGCCTTGGTGTTGGCTCTTAAATCGTTGATGGTACTCAGGAAGAATTTAAAAACCCTCTAAACTTGGCACAGGTTCTCTCAATTACTATGTGGGATTTCAGAATCTCTTAACTATGATGCACTCTTCATTTGGGCCACATTTTGGATTATTCTCTCTAGGAATGTGGGAGTGGTAATGAGCATGAGATCTACCCAGACCAGGGGTGAGCAACCTCTGGCACGCGTGCCAAACATGGCACGCCAGTAACTTTTGCTGGCACAGGAAACCCTCTCCTATAATCTTCCATTTACAATTTTTTTCTTAATATTGACTTTTTTATTTTCCAGATAAATTCAGTGTAGGTGCATCTTAGATAAATAAATAATTTTACATAAAATGTATACATTAAAAAATAAATGTATTTTTCATCATCATATACTGTGTTTTTGTCGCTCGAATGAATTTTATTATTTCTTCAAGGTTCTTCACATATGTACACCTTAAGAGATATCAAAGCCTCAAGCGAGGACACCCTTGTGTTTAGAAATTTCATACCTAGGAATGAGTGTCGTATTACTCAAAGGGTGCTCCCTTTCAAGTCAGCAAACAGCTTATTATTGGTCTGTGAGATTAACACAGACATTGAAATTTGTATAGCAATACGTTTAGCTGTTGAATTTAATGGAAAATAGAAAAAAGGAGCACATAATTTGTAAGCATTTTAAATTTATTTTTCTAATTAATCTATAATACATTGTTATTATATTTAGAAAAGTACCAGTGTACAAGTTATTGGGGGTGGGGGGTGGAGGAGGGAGGCTGTCTTTCAACAGAGATAGTTTGACAAGTACTGATTTGAAGGTCAACGAGTGTAACCTTGGCTTCCAGGAATGGGGGCAGAAAGGCTGGACTTATTCTAGGGCTTAGGGCGAAGGACCACAAGTAGCCCCTGTGATTCACCCACAATTAATCTCTGTGCACAGGAGACTCAACTAGAGTCAATATATCATTAGCAAATAGATTTGCATTTTCACTTAAGAGTTAATATTCACTCCTTTGAGAGCCAGTGTCAGGCGTTGGCTTCTGGTCAAGGATTCAGGACTTTGGAATATTGGCCACAATTTTCTCATCATATCAGCACGAACAGCGACCTAGTAAAAATTACTTAACCCCTCAGAGCCTCAGATTTCTCACCTGAAAAATGTAGATAAGTGTTACATTTTTTATAGGGAATGCTATAAAATAAACATGCTAGAGTTTATAAAAATACTCAATAAAGATTAGTTTTCTATTGATGTCTACAAGTTAACTGATTCATGTTGACTGTCATGGTATACCCATGTTTTTTTGAGGGGTTCCATTGTTATTGTTGCTGGTTTTTTTTTGGGTTGTAGTGGTGTTTTTGTTTTTGTTTTTGTTCTGTCATAAATCAAAGTTTGAAACCATATAATTCACAACCAATTCCCATCTGGCTTCCATTGCTACTTCCACATTAAATATTTCTAAACAGCAGTTATCAAGATCAATAAATGTGATTGCTGCATTTCAGTTCTTATCCTATTTGACCTCTGACAGCATCCTCCCTCTGTAAACTTGGCTTTAATGACACCAGACTTCACTGCTAATTCTCAGTCTCCTGGGAGAGCCTCCTTTAGCCAAGCATGACATGCCTCAAGGCTGTCTTCCTCTGGTAGATTGGATTATTCTAGTACGGTTCTCAATTCTTCATGCCCCACCCTAGACATAGTCTCCTTGACTTTGAGCTTAACTATGACATATGATTTGTAAATGGAATGTTAGAGGACATGACACAAACAGAAGCTTTGAAAGTTTGCTCCCCCACACTCATGTGAGAAAGAATATGCCCTGGGTAGCTGCTGGTCCAAAAAGAATGGAGAAACATGTGGAGTAGGCCTGAGCTCAAGTAGCAGACTGAAGCCAAGCACACCCAATCCAGCATAGCTCAACACAGCGGCAGCCCACTTGTACAACAAGGAATTTTTTAAAAATAAAAATAAATAGCCCTAGCCGGTTTGGCTCAATGGATAGAGTGCCATGGCCTGTTGATGGAAGGGTCCCAGGTTCAATTCTGGTCAAGGGCACTTACCTCGGTTGCAGGCTCAATCCTTGGCCCTGCTGGTCAGGTGTGCAGGAAGCAACCAATTGATGTGTCTCTCTCACATCCATGTTTCTCTCTCTGTCTCTCCCCCTCCCACTCTCTCTAAAAAACCAATGGAAAAATACCTTCAGGCGAGGATTAAAATAAATACATAAATAGTCTTTAGTTGCAAGCCACTATGATTTTGAACTGGTTCCATAGCAAAAACTGACTCACTCCCTCCCCAACCTTGTATCTGAGTTCCAAATCCACACCCTATGCCTACCCTTTGATATTTTCACTTGGATGTGTTAGAAACCTTAAACTCAACATGCCTAGATTGGAACCCGACTGTTTTCCTTTGTCCTTCTTCATTGAATGGCTATACTATGCATCTAAATGTACAACCAGAAACGTGTGAAGCCCTCCCATATACAATTCACCAGCATAAAACTTTCCTTCTAAATAGTTCTCCAACACATCCACCTCTCCTGCACCAGCACCACCCTCGTACAAGATCATGTTCTCTCACACGAACTGTCCTTCCTGAATCCACTTTTCAATTTCCCTTACCTAACTGTTGTTGTTCTCAAATTCATTTTTGTTTCCTTCGACTACATCCAAAACTCTGAAGAAAAGAAAATTTTCCAAAAAAGCTAATCATCACTGTTTCTCCTGCTTAATTAAACATTAGCTTCCACGGCTTCCTATGTTCTCAGGAATAAGACCAACATCTGTGACACAGCCCACGTGGCCACTGGCAATCGTTCCCTAGTCTCCAGGTTCAACTCCTTCCACGTCTCCTCCCCCTGTACTCTAAGAAAACCACATAGAAGTTCCCCTTCCCACACAGAGGATTTGCATTGCAGTTAACCCTGCCTGAACAGTGTCTTCCCAATGAACTTAGGACACTTTGATGGCCTATAAGGAAAACAGGACAAAAGACGTGAAATTGGGATAGTTTTAGAAAGCCTGAACGTATGATCACCAGAACTATGATTTAAATGACACACACAGATTTGTTCTTAGTTACTAGAGACTCAGACAAAAAAGCAATATAGCCCCCTAATATGCTTCCGCCTGCTAACTGTCTTCAGTAAACTTTGTAAAATTCCTGATACTTTTTCTATTCACTACAAAAAGGCACTGTCGCCCTAGCGGTTTGGCTCAGTGGATAGAGCACCAGCGTGGGGACTGAAGGGTCCCGGGTTCGATTCCGGTCAAGGGCACATGCCAGGGTTGTGGGCTCGATCCCCAGTGGGGGGCGTGCAGGAGGCAGCCAATCAATGAGTCCCTCTCATCATTGATGTTTCTATCTCTCTCCCTCTCCCTTTCTCTCTGAAATAAATAAAAATAAATTTTAAAAAGGCACTGTTCCCCAGGAAATAGTGTCTGAGCTTAGAATCATTTTACCTCTCGAGACTCAGTGAACCCAACCTTGCTCTATTGTACAAGAGCCAAGCTCTCAGGCCTCTCTGGATCCTAAATCCCTTACGTCCAATGGTAAGAAATAAGCATCCCCTACCATGCTCAGTTGTTTTTCTGATTAAAGGAAATATATCCTTAGGTGTATACCCCACTTCCCTCCCTGTCGCTCAGTTAATATCTCTTTCCTGAGCTATGTATTTCCTAACATACTGATAAGCTTATATGAGATCCACTTTGTAAGAAATAAAAAACAAAAAACCGGTTTCAGGAAGGAAACATGCATTCAACTTCATGCTCCTTTCTGGATAATGAGGCCCCCACATGGCTGCCCAGGTATCTGCCTGCACTTCTCACCCAGCAGCCGACTCCTTATTGGGTCCATTATCCTTCCTGAGGCAGACTGTGCTGCTCTGACATTTCACTTCTGAGACCTGCACTTGTCTGGCTACCTGGGCCCACTCGCCCTGGGCCACCCTGCCTATTGGGCTGTGCCTCTCCCCTGCTGTCCTCACCCAGGAGAGAAAGTGCAGCTACACTGACCAGCGAAATGGATGTGGCTGCATAAAGATGTGTATGGGAGAAGGAGGCAAAGCGTCCAGGTTCAAATGTTAGAAAATATTTATGCAAACAGAATTATCTGCTGAGGAGTGTATTGTCTAGTACTTTGACAATGTTTTTCCTGTCATCTGGCAGACTCTCATAAGCCCTGTCACCATCCTGCTTCCCAGAGTCTGTTTCTGAATAAATCCTGGCAGCTTGGGAGTTCTTCCCAAAACACTAGCACCAGCAGCATGACAAATGGTTACAACAAAACAAAACCAAAAAACACACATTTGATACTCCCTGCTGTTGAGTTAATTTGGGGGATCGGGTCTTTTAAAAGAAAATAATTGGGTTTTGCTCCGTGACATGGAGCCTGGGACCTGTGCTCTATGTTTATTTTATGTGCATGTGTGATGTTTGGAGGAAGGAGAATCTCAGAGCAGCATTTCAGGAGAAATGCAACTCCTGGTTTCTCTAAATACAGGCACCACTCTGAGTCAGTGGGCTTGGGCACTATTCCCTAAAACGTGCTCTTGGAAACACTAGCATACAAGTCTTTAGTAGGGACTTTGTGTTCACACAAGGTTTGAATAATGTAGATGACCAACCTGCAAATATTGTTGACCGAGTCTTCCGGACAGTGGTGGTGGCATTTACAACGCAAGATCTTTGGACGAGCAGTGGGGGCTGTACTGTCACCATCCTCTTTCTTGGTGCCCACATTTAATTTTCCTGAACTTCGCAAAAGCATGTTATCAAGGAAGTCTGCTGGAAAGGAGAAAGGGTAAGCATTTAAGCTTACGGCATAGCCAAGCGGAAGACTTTTGTTAAAGAATAATGTGACATCAAACAAAATATTGAATTTTCATGACATTTAAAGATTCAAACAGAAGACAGGTATTTTTATGTTTTTTATATTAAAATTATACTCTATAAATAAGAGATTATATAGTGATAGGTAGCATATATAACTATATGTCTCATGTAGAATGTGGAAATTCTCATAACTCTTTGATTAAATTACTATCTTGTATTTGGGCGCAAGGAGCTCAAGGAGACACCATTATATAGATTAGTTTTATCTGTATGGTCATACTATGGGTAGATATTATCGTCCCCATATTCCAATGAGAAAATTAAGACTAAAAGTTGAAGTGATTTTCATACAACTAATAAATCACAAAGCCAGACACGGGGCAGGGAGAGGGCGGAGGTGGCACCGGGGTGAAGGCGGAGGAGGGAGCGCCTGGGAACAGACAGCCGAGCCTGGCGCGGTGCCCTGCAGGAG